GTCGTCAAGGCTACCAAAACTGCGTTACAACTAACGATACCATGGTAAGATTGATCGTTTTTCCCGTCTTTATAACAATTTCGGCTGATTTTCACTGTTTTTTCGACTTTCATGGCAGAAATAGGTTTATAGTGGAAACACAAGGTGTCTTGAGTGTTGTAAATATTATGTATATGCTATAGATGATAACAACACATACCAAGATGTTAATATCACCTCCTACAGTTAGATATATTAGCCACCAGATGACTGTATTGCAGGGAATAAATCATAATCATGCGGTAGAGGTATAATTATGCGGAGATTTTACCAAAGACCAAGCTAAGATAGCATTACTACCTCTTGAGTAGATCTACCCCAAGCAACACAAAAAGGGGAAATAAAGGGGAAAAAAGGGGAAATAAAGGGGAAATGTCGCTTTTTCGCCTTTACGTCGGTTATTTAGGGGAAATGTCGCTTTTTCCCCCTTACGTCGTGTATTTGGGGGAAATTTGTCGACAATTCTATGTAACGTACAGTATTCGAATGAACCGCTTCTGGAGCTAAATTTTTCATAAACTTCGACGAATTAAGGCACCGCTTAATAAAAAAAACAAAACTATTGTCATAAAAACAAGGTACAAATTACGGAACCAGGCATTCGGTTCATACGCATATAGACTGACTTCGTTTGTTGTTTAGCTAAAGTGTTCCGACATGCTTGGTAGCCATCACAAAAAACTTACGTGATGCAGGTGAGTGACGTGTTCTCTGATTTCCATGTTCATTGTAACTAATTGCATTGTTAGGCCAATACTAAGAGATTTGTTGAAGTCAGTGAGAATGTTCGTATACGTAGTATCACTGTGAAATTGTCACGTTCCCTTGCCTGTCATAGATCCTTGATTTAAATAAACAATCTTTCAAACAGCTTACTCCCAACCCAAGCAACACAAAAAGGGGAAATAAAGGGGTAAATGCCATTTTAGCGAATGGTGAAATATAGGGGAAAACGCGCCAGAATATAGCCTTTTTCGCCTGCCCGGGGGAAATAATGCGGATTTTCCCCTTTTTGTCGACAAATTACCGAATTATCGCTTAAATATGTGCTGAATTATCGCCTTTTCGCCTAAATATCCGCTGAATTATCGCATTTTCGCCTAATTATCCGCTGAATCGTCGCATTTTCGCCTAAATATCCGCCGAATTGCATACTTATGCGCTTAATTGTCTACTTTTCGCCTAAATACACACATTACCTCCTATTTTCCATCCATCGACAGAACCCCAAACGTCTCCTATGTTCGCCTTTATTTTCAACAACAGACCAAAATATATCTGCAATGCAGTGGAAAAGCGGTAAATATTTCAAAAATTTTATTGAAAAAGAAAAACGTATTATTGTACAACAGTAGAGCACAAGCTGAAGCATCGATTGTTATGCATATCCAATGCAATTGCTAATACATTGTTATTTGAAATTATCTGAAAAAGAACGAACAGGTTATAATGTATTCATAAGAAATGTGCATTTAATCAATAGTTCACTGAAACTCAAACACACATTCTCAACACTTCAACAGTTTCCCATGTAGGTAAAAGAGTAAGCTGTTTGAAAGAATAATGTTTATTGAAATCGAGGTACAACATCAAAGCAATTGCACGGATTAATCAGAATTGGGGTAGTCGTCCTGTGAATTCTGAATTTAAAAAAAACAATAAAGAGTCACAACCATATCTCAATGACATGCTTTTGCACAACCAAATACTTGAAGCTGAACTTACGGTTATGTTCGTCAGTATTGTTGACTGTAACTATAGAGCCGTAGGGAGGTTATCACTTTAAATTAGTACCTACCTGATTTTCTTTTCTTCTATTTCGTTTTATCGTCTTGTCTCGAAGGTCGTGAAAGTAACCTTGTGTCGCTATGTCGTATAGCTTACCAAGGTCTTTCTCATTTACAGAGGATGACAAAAAACGATGAGTTAAGGCACCTGAAGTTTAAGTAATAGATATAGGTTACTTCGTATGCAGCTGTAAAACGTGCATTTATGTAGTGCTCGTTTAGAAGAGGTGCCGAGTAACGTGAATTTACTGGCAACCTCCGGTGTCAGCAGATGCGACAGAATAAAACGCATGGACGTTTTTGGATCGTCACCTGATAACCTAGTGACCATTGCCGTCTGTAATAGTAACAAATTATTAAATTCATGTCAATGACTTACAAATCTGTCCCTGGTTTCTTTCTGCGACAAACCAGTATCTAGCATCTGTAGTTCCTCTTCAGATGACAAAGGGAACTGCTGACTTGACAGTCCGCAATCGAATTCATGCGGTCTTTCGCGCTCATGAGACTTTGAAAGCAATTGGTTAACATTAACATTCAAGTTAGTAATGGCGGACGACATGTTGTTAATCGTTTTAGTCAAGTCATTGATAGCTGACGAAATCTTCAGCACCACAGTATACAACCTATCACAGGTGAAAAAGGTCACTAGATGATGCAGTTTACTTACTGGTCCAATACAGCGCCACCAACATGCTTACATTCCGATGTGGATGGTGATGTCTCTAATTGTGTTGAACTAAATAGTGAATATCTAAATGGTAATTAAACGTACTTGGCGATTGGAGATATCACTTTGTCGAAAACACGAAATTTGGGATATTGTACGCGGATATTCCCAGCCTGCATCTCAGCCACATCCATGTCTACTGAATTGTAAAGAAAATCTTCTTTACGTTTCATTACACCTCTAGGAAATGTTAGTAAGATTATTGTACAAACCTCTTGGGCTTCTCAGTGTTATGTGGCAGAGTGTTTTCATCCGTTGAAGTGTTTTCAAGGTGAGATTGCAGTATTTGCAGGGAAGCTAACAGATCTTTTGCAGACTGCAGAGATTCTATAGTGAATTATAGTTTCCATGATTGTAGCTTACCTAATTCATGAATAACTTTACACTTCATAAGTGACCAATTGTCATCAGGTTGGTCGCACTTCTGAAGGTGTATATCGACCATCTCATTCGGAAAAGCGCAAAGGTCATTGCCAACTATCCAGTCCTTTGATGCTATCATAAGTTTTTTTTAGGGCGTCAACAATAGCGTATTTCTTGTTAGTGGGCTGAAAAGAACATAAGACGTAAGTAAATGGTTTATCATCATTAATTAAACACTAATGAAACGAAATGCATTTACAATAAAGTATGCAACAATGGGATTACAACTATGTAATTGGTACAATTGATGGCTATACATTTACAATCAATGTCCTGAACCGATACCCATGTGTATTCATGGCTAACTACGGAGCACATAAAGATTCCAATATCACTAGATGGGAAAGGATCTTCAAAGTAATTGCGTGGGTCAGTGAAAGTCCTAAATTTTAGCAGTCCATCCTCCTTTATGTAAGTAACTAAACCGGGCTGGCCGTTAACTACTACTACATTATCCGGTTTATATGAACTTATTTTGCTGTTGTTAAACATAATTACTTGTTTAATGGAGACATCATTAGCGCCTATTGTGGTAGTATTTGTTAAACCACTAATTTGAAGCCTATCCCTAAAGGACATTCTCTCAGCATAACGCTGTGCTGCTTGCTTAGCTACTGCAAACCCACCACGCACGGAATTCTTAATTTGTCTCATATAAGACTCGAATGGAAAGGCTGAAAAACTATCTAAAGGTCCATGTGCACGAACGTCGTCAAGGAGGTGCTGTAACGAATGCACATTGTAAACTAAGTTTTCACACCCATAACACCATGCGTATTCATTTAGGAAGTTTAGTAAATCTAATTTGGCGGTTTCTACAACATTTTTATGTAATTTCGGATGTGCAAGCAGATACATGGATAACGCATAGGATCTAGAGGGAAAGTTAAAATCATATCAATCGAAAGCGTTTCCATATTAGAATGTCCTTGATGGTGAATTGATTGAGACTGACGACGGAAGGTGTCGTCTGTTCTTAAGGTATGTACTCCATGGTGTACCTCGGTGTTACCAAAAAACTAGCTAATTTATGGATAGATTTAGCACGCCGAAGACTGCGCGACTTTAACTCATGTGCAATTGGGGACATAAATAATTTAATAACGGGTTGTGTGGCAAGTACTCCTTCTGACTTTCCCCGTAAATGCCGTACACTAGACTTTGTATCGGCATGGAAAGCTTCTGAATGTAGGTTGTTTCTTCTGTATTTAGGCCCGGTGATTCTTGGATAAACATTGCCACAACCTTTTTATCTTAATTTCCGGCGTTTAGCGTTATCCATGTATCTGCTTGCACATCCGAAATTACATAAAAATGTTGTAGAAACCGCCAAATTAGATTTACTAAACTTCCTAAATGAATACGCATGGTGTTATGGGTGTGAAAACTTAGTTTACAATGTGCATTCGTTACAGCACCTCCTTGACGACGTTCGTGCACATGGACCTTTAGATAGTTTTTCAGCCTTTCCATTCGAGTCTTATATGAGACAAATTAAGAATTCCGTGCGTGGTGGGTTTGCAGTAGCTAAGCAAGCAGCACAGCGTTATGCTGAGAGAATGTCCTTTAGGGATAGGCTTCAAATTAGTGGTTTAACAAATACTACCACAATAGGCGCTAATGATGTCTCCATTAAACAAGTAATTATGTTTAACAACAGCAAAATAAGTTCATATAAACCGGATAATGTAGTAGTAGTTAACGGCCAGCCCGGTTTAGTTACTGACATAAAGGAGGATGGACTGCTAAAATTTAGGTCTTTCACTGACCCACGCAATTACTTCGAAGATCCTTTCCCATCTAGTGATGCGGGAATCTTTATGTGCTCCGTAGTTGGCCATGAATACACATGGGTATCGGTTAAGGACATTGATTGTAAATGTATGGCCATAAATTGTAGGAATTATCTAGTTCTAATCCCATTGTTGCATACTTTATTGTAAATGCATTTCGTTTCATTAGTGTTTAATTAATGATGATAAACCATTTACTTACGTCTTATGTTCTTTTCAGCCCACTAACAAGAAATACGCTATTGTTGACGCCCTAAAAAAAACTTATGATAGCATCAAAGGACTGGATAGTTGGCAATGACCTTTGCGCTTTTCCGAATGAGATGGTCGATATACACCTTCAGAAGTGCGACCAACCTGATGACAATTGGTCACTTATGAAGTGTAAAGTTATTCATGAATTAGGTAAGCTACAATCATGGAAACTATAATTCACTATAGAATCTCTGCAGTCTGCAAAAGATCTGTTAGCTTCCCTGCAAATACTGCAATCTCACCTTGAAAACACTTCAACGGATGAAAACACTCTGCCACATAACACTGAGAAGCCCAAGAGGTTTGTACAATAATCTTACTAACATTTCCTAGAGGTGTAATGAAACGTAAAGAAGATTTTCTTTACAATTCAGTAGACATGGATGTGGCTGAGATGCAGGCTGGGAATATCCGCGTACAATATCCCAAATTTCGTGTTTTCGACAAAGTGATATCTCCAATCGCCAAGTACGTTTAATTACCATTTAGATATTCACTATTTAGTTCAACACAATTAGAGACATCACCATCCACATCGGAATGTAAGCATGTTGGTGGCGCTGTATTGGACCAGTAAGTAAACTGCATCATCTAGTGACCTTTTTCACCTGTGATAGGTTGTATACTGTGGTGCTGAAGATTTCGTCAGCTATCAATGACTTGACTAAAACGATTAACAACATGTCGTCCGCCATTACTAACTTGAATGTTAATGTTAACCAATTGCTTTCAAAGTCTCATGAGCGCGAAAGACCGCATGAATTCGATTGCGGACTGTCAAGTCAGCAGTTCCCTTTGTCATCTGAAGAGGAACTACAGATGCTAGATACTGGTTTGTCGCAGAAAGAAACCAGGGACAGATTTGTAAGTCATTGACATGAATTTAATAATTTGTTACTATTACAGACGGCAATGGTCACTAGGTTATCAGGTGACGATCCAAAAACGTCCATGCGTTTTATTCTGTCGCATCTGCTGACACCGGAGGTTGCCAGTAAATTCACGTTACTCGGCACCTCTTCTAAACGAGCACTACATAAATGCACGTTTTACAGCTGCATACGAAGTAACCTATATCTATTACTTAAACTTCAGGTGCCTTAACTCATCGTTTTTTGTCATCCTCTGTAAATGAGAAAGACCTTGGTAAGCTATACGACATAGCGACACAAGGTTACTTTCACGACCTTCGAGACAAGACGATAAAACGAAATAGAAGAAAAGAAAATCAGGTAGGTACTAATTTAAAGTGATAACCTCCCTACGGCTCTATAGTTACAGTCAACAATACTGACGAACATAACCGTAAGTTCAGCTTCAAGTATTTGGTTGTGCAAAAGCATGTCATTGAGATATGGTTGTGACTCTTTATTGTTTTTTTTAAATTCAGAATTCACAGGACGACTACCCCAATTCTGATTAATCCGTGCAATTGCTTTGATGTTGTACCTCGATTTCAATAAACATTATTCTTTCAAACAGCTTACTCTTTTACCTACATGGGAAACTGTTGAAGTGTTGAGAATGTGTGTTTGAGTTTCAGTGAACTATTGATTAAATGCACATTTCTTATGAATACATTATAACCTGTTCGTTCTTTTTCAGATAATTTCAAATAACAATGTATTAGCAATTGCATTGGATATGCATAACAATCGATGCTTCAGCTTGTGCTCTACTGTTGTACAATAATACGTTTTTCTTTTTCAATAAAATTTTTGAAATATTTACCGCTTTTCCACTGCATTGCAGATATATTTTGGTCTGTTGTTGAAAATAAAGGCGAACATAGGAGACGTTTGGGGTTCTGTCGATGGATGGAAAATAGGAGGTAATGTGTGTATTTAGGCGAAAAGTAGACAATTAAGCGCATAAGTATGCAATTCGGCGGATATTTAGGCGAAAATGCGACGATTCAGCGGATATTTAGGCGAAAATGCGATAATTCAGCGGATATTTAGGCGATAAGTCGGTAATTTGTCGACAAAAAGGGGAAAATCCGCATTATTTCCCCCGGACAGGCGAAAAAGGCGACATTCTGGCGCGTTTTCCCCTATATTTCCCCTTTCGCTACCATAGCATTTACCCCTTAATTTCCCCTTTTTGTGTTGTCTGGGACACAAGTATTTGGCTGTATATAGTATTCTAATTGTCGTATGAATTAGGAATTCCAGGATTAACGCAATTGAATTAAGAAGACAATAATAAAATAATACGTTTTTCTTTTTCAATAAAATTTTTGAAATATTTACCGCTTTTCCACTGCATTGCAGATATATTTTGGTCTGTTGTTGAAAATAAAGGCGAACATAGGAGACGTTTGGGGTTCTGTTGTGTTGTCTGGAACACATGTATTTGGCTGTATATAGTATTCTAATTGTCGTATGAATTAGGAATTCCAGGATTAACGCAATTGAATTAAGAAAACACAGGCACAACGAATGTACTGTTTTTAGAATTCGAAATCGAGCATTCAACAAGTACAAAAGAATCATTAGTTAATTCAAACACCACATCCGCCACAGCTTAAATAGAAGTATAAGTGTTTGTAATCAGTTGTATGTCTTGTTAAGTTCATCCTGAGTCTGTCCGACATTGTATAAGATAGAAACTTTGTAGTATCTGCAATTGCATACAACCAGCATGTCGGTTTTGTAATGAAATCATTAATATCTAGAATTCGAACTATAGATTTCTCAACACTATCCCCCCCCCACGAAATAATGTTGGATCCTTATATCCCCAAGTTATGAATAATGTGGCTTCATTTAAAACATATTTCTCACATTGTTTAGATTAAACATTAGAAGTGTTTTTGTGATAAGAGTAAACAGCAGTTGATATGAAATCATCCGAAATGTAATAAAACTCGAGGTCACTTAGTACTCGTGCTTCGCACTGGGCAGGTTTTTCACAAGGATCAAATACATTATGAGGATAGGTAATATATGATATGACATCAGGATTTGATTCTTCTGAAATATTCTCATGAAATTCATCAGGACTGTCATTGCAGAGCGTAGGATCGTTAGAAAAATCAGCATCTATCCAAACCACATCAGGTTTTCGATCATGATTAGGTTCATTTAACATATTTCCTCAGAATTGCAAGTAATTTCATTAGAAATATGTGAATCATTAGGAAAAGTCATACTTAGTACAATAACATGAGAATTCTGATAAATCGGTTGATTAGGAACTGTTGTCTCACAAGAATTCTGGATTTCACTTAACTCTGAACTGCCATATGACTCTGCACTGTCTTTTGAAATCGTTGATAAAGATAAATGATCATCAGGAATACTCGACTCAGTAGAATCAGAATTACAAGACTTAATATTAGTTGCAGTAAGATGAACATTAGCATTACAAACTGACTTAACTTGTCCAATATCACGACATTTGAAGCATTTAGAATTATGAAATTTACATGAATTAGAAGAGTGGAACTTGCAACAGGACAAACACTGACCAAACTTGTCCCCATCCTCGTGAACTGCATCCAAATTCAATGAATTGTCTGCATAACCTTGAGTGTGCACTAGGTTGGGATGATGTAGTGGACTTTTTTATATCCTCATGAATCATTTTACGAAATCTTCCTCCTTTACGACATTCGAAATTTGTATACTGAGCATAGTCTAGCAGTAGATCCTTGAGAGCTGTATAAGAAAGCGAAATGGGTTTTTCCGGCATAGCCAGAGTTCTTAATAAGCTGTATGCTTCTTTTCCAATGAATGTGAGGAAGTGTGCCACAATATTAACATCCTCATCATCTTCCTTGGTCATAGCCCAGATTTCGAACCTTTCAAAGCAATCTTCAAAAGCTTCCGAAGTTGAATGAATATCTAACTTTTCCATTGCAGGCTCCATCGCGACGACAATATAGTAGTAGAATTATCGTATGAATTAGGAATTCCAGGATTAACGCAATTGAATTAAGAAAACACAGGCACAACGAATGTACTGTATTTAGAATTCGAAATCGAGCATTCAACAAGTACAAAAGAATCATTAGTTAATTCAAACACCACATTGTACCAAAGCATGTCATTGAGATATGGTTGTGACTTTTTTCTTTTTTTTAATTCAGAATTCATGGGACGACTACCTCAATTCTCTAAGCCGTGCAATTGTTTTGATGTTCTACCTACATTTCAATAAATATTATTTTTCAAACAGCTTACTTTTTTACTTACATGAGAAACTGTAGAAGTGTTGAGAATGTGTGTTTGAGTTTCAGTTAACTTATGCTTAAATGGACATTCCTTATAAATAAAACATAACCCGTTCCTTCTTTTTCAGGTAATTTCAAATAACAATGAATTAGCAATTGCATTGGATATGCAAAACAATCGATGCTTAACCTTCTGCTCTAGTGTTGTACAATAATACGCTTTTCCTTTTAAATAAAATTTTTAAAAAATTTACCGCTTTTCCACTGCATTGCAGATATATTTTGGTCTGTTGTTGAAAATAAAGGCGAACATAGGAGACGTTTGGGGTTCTGTCGATGGATGGAAAATAGGAGGTAATGTGTGTATTTAGGCGAAAAGTAGACAATTAAGCGCATAAGTATGCAATTCGGCGGATATTTAGGCGAAAATGCGACGATTCAGCGGATATTTAGGCGAAAATGCGATAATTCAGCGGATATTTAGGCGATAAGTCGGTAATTTGTCGACAAAAAGGGGAAAATCCGCATTATTTCCCCCGGACAGGCGAAAAAGGCGACATTCTGGCGCGTTTTCCCCTATATTTCCCCTTTCGCTACCATAGCATTTACCCCTTAATTTCCCCTTTTTGTGTTGTCTGGGACACAAGTATTTGGCTGTATATAGTATTCTAATTGTCGTATGAATTAGGAATTCCAGGATTAACGCAATTGAATTAAGAAAACAATAATAAAATAATACGTTTTTCTTTTTCAATAAAATTTTTGAAATATTTACCGCTTTTCCACTGCATTGCAGATATATTTTGGTCTGTTGTTGAAAATAAAGGCGAACATAGGAGACGTTTGGGGTTCTGTTGTGTTGTCTGGAACACATGTATTTGGCTGTATATAGTATTCTAATTGTCGTATGAATTAGGAATTCCAGGATTAACGCAATTGAATTAAGAAAACACAGGCACAACGAATGTACTGTTTTTAGAATTCGAAATCGAGCATTCAACAAGTACAAAAGAATCATTAGTTAATTCAAACACCACATCCGCCACAGCTTAAATAGAAGTATAAGTGTTTGTAATCAGTTGTATGTCTTGTTAAGTTCATCCTGAGTCTGTCCGACATTGTATAAGATAGAAACTTTGTAGTATCTGCAATTGCATACAACCAGCATGTCGGTTTTGTAATGAAATCATTAATATCTAGAATTCGAACTATAGATTTCTCAACACTATCCCCCCCCCACGAAATAATGTTGGATCCTTATATCCCCAAGTTATGAATAATGTGGCTTCATTTAAAACATATTTCTCACATTGTTTAGATTAAACATTAGAAGTGTTTTTGTGATAAGAGTAAACAGCAGTTGATATGAAATCATCCGAAATGTAATAAAACTCGAGGTCACTTAGTACTCGTGCTTCGCACTGGGCAGGTTTTTCACAAGGATCAAATACATTATGAGGATAGGTAATATATGATATGACATCAGGATTTGATTCTTCTGAAATATTCTCATGAAATTCATCAGGACTGTCATTGCAGAGCGTAGGATCGTTAGAAAAATCAGCATCTATCCAAACCACATCAGGTTTTCGATCATGATTAGGTTCATTTAACATATTTCCTCAGAATTGCAAGTAATTTCATTAGAAATATGTGAATCATTAGGAAAAGTCATACTTAGTACAATAACATGAGAATTCTGATAAATCGGTTGATTAGGAACTGTTGTCTCACAAGAATTCTGGATTTCACTTAACTCTGAACTGCCATATGACTCTGCACTGTCTTTTGAAATCGTTGATAAAGATAAATGATCATCAGGAATACTCGACTCAGTAGAATCAGAATTACAAGACTTAATATTAGTTGCAGTAAGATGAACATTAGCATTACAAACTGACTTAACTTGTCCAATATCACGACATTTGAAGCATTTAGAATTATGAAATTTACATGAATTAGAAGAGTGGAACTTGCAACAGGACAAACACTGACCAAACTTGTCCCCATCCTCGTGAACTGCATCCAAATTCAATGAATTGTCTGCATAACCTTGAGTGTGCACTAGGTTGGGATGATGTAGTGGACTTTTTTATATCCTCATGAATCATTTTACGAAATCTTCCTCCTTTACGACATTCGAAATTTGTATACTGAGCATAGTCTAGCAGTAGATCCTTGAGAGCTGTATAAGAAAGCGAAATGGGTTTTTCCGGCATAGCCAGAGTTCTTAATAAGCTGTATGCTTCTTTTCCAATGAATGTGAGGAAGTGTGCCACAATATTAACATCCTCATCATCTTCCTTGGTCATAGCCCAGATTTCGAACCTTTCAAAGCAATCTTCAAAAGCTTCCGAAGTTGAATGAATATCTAACTTTTCCATTGCAGGCTCCATCGCGACGACAATATAGTAGTAGAATTATCGTATGAATTAGGAATTCCAGGATTAACGCAATTGAATTAAGAAAACACAGGCACAACGAATGTACTGTATTTAGAATTCGAAATCGAGCATTCAACAAGTACAAAAGAATCATTAGTTAATTCA